GTAACAACTATTCCAAATGTACAAAAAATACTAGTATTTCATGAATAATGTGCCACATACTTTCTGTTGGAAGTGGATTTCGAGCACCTTGTAACAAGACTGCGTCAATTTACAAAATGATGTGAAGAATGGAAAAAATATGAAAGACCTGCTGAATCGTTGAGTGGTTGGATATTTCTTGAACTATTTGTTACGAAAAACACAACTGTAATAGAATTCCAGAGAAATTTTCCTCATGTTAAGTTATATGTCACTGTTGTCGTTTTATATAAGATGTCATAAAATGCACGTTTATGTTTGTCGTGTATTGTGTGGACGGATTTGTTTCGTAAAAGTGCAGCGCGTAGTTCCATAAATACAGAAAATGTCCTGTTGTAAAGATACCGAGCTCCATCACGTTTTGAGCGAAGGTCAAGCTCTAGTAGATTGGACGATAACGCATAACGCTTTTACAATAAAGTAGAGAGAAACGATACATAAATAATTGTGGGAGACTATTCAACGCAACCTGCATACACATTCAAGTAAAGAAAAAATCTGCCTGCCGTCAGAAGCCGAGTTTTTCCCCCTTCAGGGGTTTTTTCCTGAGCCGTACCTTGTGGTCTCTTTTCCGCGGCTTTGATGCGATGGAGAGACCATTTGGGGTGAATACAAGAATTCGAAAGATTAGAACGCGAAAGGATGTAGGTATTGTAATGGCTTAAAGGCCTTCGGCCTAGCCACATAGGATCAAGTAATCAAATTTGTTTGTAATAATTACCTATTAAATAAAATAAAATAAAGAAAAAATCTGAAGTATGGGAATAATGACCTGGAAATATGTAGGCGACTGAGTAGCAATCCAGTGTGGAAATATAAAAAAAATTAGCTGAGGCAAATACAGATGACGACTGGCTGGTAAGGTGAGCGGATGTGCCGTAGCGGTCTCGATTCAAGCGGACTTGAGTTCAAAACCCGTCTTGTGCACGGATGTTTGCGTTTATGTTGCGGCTTGGTGAGACTCTTCTAACAACTCAAGTACCAATGTAACAATGAAAGTTGTAAATACCTTTCAACTCCGAGAACCCTATTAGTTTCATTCCGCACATACCACTCCGAATGTACTAATAAGTTAGTCTCTTATTCTTCAAAGGGTTACAAGGGAACAGCAAAATGAGGCAGCTCTCTCTCCGCATGTAAAATATTAAAGTATCCAGATAGATTCAAGGGCTAACTAAAAGTCGGCCCTCCAGTCAGCCCTGCGGCGTATATATGCTCGTCCTTTGTTATTTACTTTCTCGTATATGTACTGTGATAAGCCAAAAGACCCCACGGTATTTTGCAAGGGAGTATTTCTATCAAGCATGCAGTAACGAGGGAAGGGTACATATACAAAACATTTAAAAAACAAAGAATAAACATTGTTAAGACAACAAATCAGTAAGTATAAAAACTCCATATTTGATGCCAAAGCGACATGCTGTTTCGCGCCACCTCGGCCCAGTAGACATTACTGGCAATAAGTGGGAAGAAGGCATTGTAAGCTTCGATCTTGCGAAAATGACGAAATGATCATTCAATTTGCTGACCTGGCCAAATGTAAGCAATTTATGAGATGAAAACGTTCATTTTCAGTATAGTATGGGGTCATTTGAATATAGTATTGAAGTAGGTAAATGATGATTTTTTGTTGATAGCATTGTGCAGAGTCGAAGTTCGAAAGTGTTACTGATGTTAAATTATAATTGTGAATTAGTTTGTTAAAGTAATTGTTAGATTTAAGTCAAACGTTTTCCAAAGGGGATTTATGACAGGATAGCTCTATATATAAGGAAGGGTTTTTTTTAAATCTGTTGAAAATAGGTAGTGGCAAATAGGGGTCGAGAAACTCAGTGAGTCAGTCGTGTCACGAAATAATTTGCGAAAGGGCATTAAATTACATAAAGTATCAGATGGTCAAGGACTTTCCGGGTACATGTGGTAATTTATTCGGTCGATAAGCAAAAACGTAATAGTATGGTACCTAGGACATCTCATGGACAACGACGGCAGCCCAGAAGATCAGCTGAGAAGAACATCTGAGAAGTTAGCAGTAATCTCACGAACATTATTTAAAAAAAACCGTAAAGTACGTTCATCTAATTCAGACATCAAGTTAATAAACTTAATTCATGATCTCTCGGAAATTGTGTAAAAGTATTGCAATAAATGTTAAGTTTGATTTTTGAATAAAGAAAAGGCTCCAGAAAGAAAAAGGCTAAAGAAAAGGTTTCAGAGTATTTGCCATCAATTTAATAATTAGTTTGTTTGCAGAACTTCGAGGAATCTCGATTCCGTATGGAATTACACGCCTACACATTCAGCAGTTAAGGCAAGAAATGACGTCCGCACTGACGTACGTAGATTACTCAATCACTGTATTTGTATAAGGATACGATGTTTTCTGTTGTTGTTTTTTTTTTTGTTATTTTGAAAAACATATTCGATTAAGATGTAAACAAGAGGACGGTAAGAGTGGTAGCTTCCTTTTCGAATATATTATTATATGACATAGATAAATATTGATTTGGTCAGATCTGTCGCAAATAAACAATTAGTGACAACATGATTGCCTACGCAATAAGGATATGATGACTTCTATTTCTTTTGTTTTTGTACTTCAAAAATCTACTATCACGATATAAATAAGAAGAGAGTAAGAGTGATCTCTTCCTTTACGGATGGAAGATTATGACAGATAAATATTGATTTAGTCAGATAAGTCTCAAGTAAACATTTTAGTGACAACATGATTACCTTAACAATGTTCTTTACTTTATCTTACGTTCTTAAGTTATCTTTATGTTATAACGACTGCTTATTCTCCTAACCCATTCAATTTCGTTGTATTAAGTTTCGTAATTCGGCGGAAAAGTAGATAAATCATTTTCCTATAAAAAGAAATGTCTTACTATAACTTGGTGTATAATCCGAATCACCGTTTTAAGGCTCCTTGATACCGAACAATTTGTCGGGGGCGAAACGTCCGTCCTGTCTGTTTGTGTTCGCCGTTATCGTTACAACCGTTCAGAAGATAAAAATAACGGGATAAAATATGTTGTGTTTTAAGACCACTGGTAACAGTTATATCGTCTAATCTACTACGAGAAAAAAGTGAAGCAGAAGCCACGCGGCTATCGCTTCATCCCGGATCTTCTATGACAACCGGATTTTATTTTATCTAATCACCATAAAATAATAGTAACAATTGTATGAAATGTACACGTGAAATATATGATCTGCTCACGTTTTCTTGAGCTCCTGAGTCACTACCACATCCCTGTCTAGGCATAATGATATTCTGAATTAAAATTCGAGCACTAATAAAACGAGGTTAACAATATTAAACAAGGAGACATTTTAGCTCCCGTGATATAGAAAAAAATTATCAACAACATCGACAAACAACTTGAGATTGAATTTTAAAAATTCGTTAGCAAAATAGCAAACCACAGTCTTCGGCCCCACTCCTAATGTAACGTTTTCAGGACAGTTTTTGGCGGAATGATCGAGTGAGGGCAGGGCGATGATGAAGGGCAGCGTGCAGTTTTTTGCCCGTTGCCTTAAGATTCTGTTGCGGCATCCGCCTTCAATTAACCCTTACATTCATGAAGATGGGCATAAAAACCAAAGTTTTAAATAAATATATATGGAGGTTTTTATTATTAATTACTTCATTTCTTAATAACTTCAATAAAAGTCAACTCTTAATGTTAAAAAAATCATTATTTACTTCAATAAATATTAATCGGAGGAAACCATCCAAATGATAGGTCACAGCAGCTGGTCGATGGAGGGGATGAATTCTGATTGGAGGGGTAAACTTAAGGAGTTGAAATAATAGAAGACGCAAACAGGACTTTGTAATTTAATACAGTGTAGACAAAACATGGCTAGTTCGCGGGCAAGGCAAGTAAAGCTTTCTCGAGTTGTCGGGCATTGCGTCCAGAGCAACTGGCACGTGGTTTGAAAATAAGTGCTGTACAAAATGCACCAGGGTAATAGTGTTTTTCTGGATACCTGGACCATGACAGGTATTTGGAGAAGTGTTCAGAGAAGTTTGTTGATAGTTGTTGCTCCAAAAGTGACAATCATTTTCAAGTCCTTTATTAAGCCAAGAAACGATCCATTATAATTAAATAACTCAGTAATATTTGAAATCGTCAATTGGGAGTAAAATTAAGTAATATTTAATCCTAAGTCATTTTGATTTCATAATCTTGTTTACTTAAGAGTGCAATAAATGCACGAAATTCAAATGTTTAAGTTAGGAGTTTTAACCGACCAAGAATAACTTTTGTTAAATGAACCCGTAAAGAGAGCCCAAAGAATTGTTAATTTATAAACCTGTTAATTTTTTGCATATTATTGCTACCTACTACAAATATCTGAATGATTTAACAAAACATAACACGAAACGAAAACATGACAAGAACTCGCAATTCAAAAATATTTGTACCTCTTGTCAAAAATGTTTATACAAGACAGAATTTAAAAAAGAAAATTACCATAAATAGTATTACATGAATATAATAAGTATTGCAGCATTTGACAAGATTCAAATCTCGGATGTATGAAAGAAAATATAATGCAAACACTTGGTATGAAGTCATCATTCTTCGTTATATTTCAAGTGCAATCTTTGCTTACATTCAGCGTGTACAGTCCTCTCTGGATTTGGGGTCAAATCAGGGTGGTGTCAGAGTAAGTTGGCTACGCTTGCAGGGGTTTCGAACTTCCCACGCAGGCAAGTAGCTCTTGTGGGCTCAGTATGAAATGCTTTGAATTGCTTTTAAATTGGAAAAAATGTTTAATGAAACAAATAAATATCAATCAACTTGGAATTCGCGTAAAGATGGGTGTAGTACATTTTAAAAAAATGCAGCCGGGATATGAACCGGGGTCATGCAGCGCAGGAGTCGTAAATGCTACTGAATGTGCGCCTTCAGGCAACTTGACAGTACCTCCTCAGTCAGATCACGTGCTCTGGCGGCTTTTATGCTAAACTTTTTACGCGATTTCTCTGCAACATTGGTCCTACGAATGCCAAATGTGAACTCGGAATGCAGGATCATTTACTCGTTCATGACAAGTTTTGTTTAAACGCCTTACTTTTCAACTTACGAGGTCTCTTTGTTGTTTTCTCATGAAAACAAAATCTTATCATAGGCGGTTAATCACATAGTGAAAGAATGTCAGGAATGATTCCGATTATCTGCACTGTTTTACCATTGAGAAATAACATTTTTTGAGAAAACCTTATAAATCTGAGTACAAGGGTGAGGCTTAGAATACCAAAGAATTAATATTCAAAGACTAATGGCTTTAGTATCTTAAAATCTAGCCAATCCTTTCTGAATATTGCAGTATACTGGCACGTCTGAAGCGGTTTTTACATTCCTTTCTCCCCAAAAACCAACGTTATAATCACAAAATTAATATTTATTACGAATTTGTAGAATACTGAATGCGATTTCAGAATAAATGCATAAATAAAGTGTGTACATTTTTTGATAACCTCTTCAACGTTGTACACTATTCTATTACATTGCGGTAATTTTGTTAGTAATCCAATAAGATGAAAGAAATTCGTGTGAATGTTGACAATATTCTTGAGAATCCTCAAGTGGAACTTTCAATTCACCTTTCCTTTCGTTGTACACGTTTATTTTTAACATACTGTACACAGTAACATTCTTATTGAGTATTTTCTCATTTTTGGTGCAATATTTTGTCCTTTAAGTAACATAATACCAAAATATTGCTGAGTAAAATTATTGTCGTCTCCAATATTATTTCAGCACAATACATAACATTTACGGCTCTCTTACGCAACCAATATTGATGAATGAGGTCCCTAAGAAATATTTACGTAGACGTGACAATTGTACTTTGACTTTAAAAATATGGAGGATTTGTTGAAAAAAATCATCTAAATATTCACGTCAAACGGAACCCGCAACACTCGGCCTCAATGTCAAATTTATGTAGTTCAATAACTCCTAAACGAAGCAATCTAAGGCCTTAAAATCTGCAAGTTTGAGACGGGTAGTTTGAAAGACACATTCCTGTCTCCGTAATCTGCAGCTTCTTGGACATTTTGTTTCATTTTTCTAGACCGGCACTTCTCGATACTACGCCCCGTTTCAGAGCAGAATTTACAACTGTATGTGAAATTAAACAAATTACCGATATTTGAGGTGCTTGATTTGCACGGGTGTACCTCTCAGTTCGGTAAAGTTAAATAATATTCGAAAGAGCAGAATTGTACTTGCCCGATCCTGTATTTTCGCATGGACAACATTACGTAGCTTTCTTAAGAGTAAAAAGCTTTCCTAATATTTTTGTGGCTATCCAGAAAAGAAAAAAAACTGTCAAACATTTCAAATGTTTTAAAGTAATTGCTGTGAATTGTTCCATGCCATCTGCCAATAACACTGAAATTAGAAATTTGTTTCGAGCATCAATTGTAGTCTTTGCTTTTTTATTTGATATACTGTAAGTAAATTAGAAGTAACATTTACACATTTTTAAACAAATACGTTTTGTTAAAAACTTTCCCTCTTAACATAGAAATGCAAGAATAGAGAATAGGGTACATTTTAACATGCGAAAATGCTCGCACGTATACGCAAGTTTCATTCATTGACTAACTAGAGCATTTCTTGATTCATTCATTCACTTAATTTTCAACTTATTGTTCACTTCATGCATTTACAAGATCTATCTAAAAAACAGACCTGGCTCCTTGCGACTTCTGGTTGTTTCCAAAATTGAAGACGCCACTGAAAGGATCCCGTTTTGAGAGTAGAGAAGAAATAATGCGGAAGAAGATGCGGAACGCGACGACAGAACGGAAGACCATTCCAAAAGAAGACTTGCAGAGGTGTTTCCAGCAGTGGAAAGATCGGTGGTCTAAGTGTATGGAAGCACAAGGGCCTACTTTGAAGGGGATTAGGGTCCGAAATCTGTCAGGTATTTGAAATATTTTTTTTTCTGGCCAAAGGTCGGATAATTTTTAGACAGGCTTCGTATATCTTTATTCAATCATTTATTCCTTCCTTCAAACATTAATTTACTGACTCATTTATCATTAAATTATTTGTTATAACGGTCATTGATTCGCACATACATTTTTTCACCGATCATTAAATTATTTATGAATTCAATCATTGATTCACACATACATTTATTAACCGATCATTATTTTTTTATTAATTCATTTTTGATTCACACACATTTATTAATCGATAATTAAATTATTTTTTTAATTCAATCATTGATTCTCACATATATTTATTAACCGATCATTAAATTATTTATAAATTCAATCATTGATTCACACACATATTTATTCACTGACGCAGCCCGTAGATGCGACCCACTTAGCACACCCTACGAAGCGGCCCCCA